GAAGCAGAATGTTGTATGTATAATAAATAAATAAAATCTTTAAAAAAATAGTTTCTAGACATACAAAAACAAGGGGAAACTGGTTAGAACAAATTGGAGGAGAAGATAAATCTGTTAGTATTTCCATCTCTCAGAGGGCGGATCTCACCTCATCCACATTCATACTGGATTTGGCACTTGTCTCAAAAAATCGGATTCCATGCTCTCGAGCCAGCTGTAGGGGGTGAGGAGGGAAGGAGAGAACTGGATAAAGGGGAGGGCAGAATCAAAGTGTTCAGTAATCCTTCCTCACACTGGTTCTCCCAGCCCTGAGCCAAGCAGCCCAGCCCCCTGCCCCTCACCTTATCAGCCTGTTCTTTCAGCACCTTCCTCTTGGCCTCCATGTCACACTTGTTCCCCAGCAGAAGGCGCTCCACCCCAGCAGAGGCATTCTGAAGACAAAAGTAAAACAAGTAAAAGCTGGGTCTTTTGTGTGGCTCACACCTGCAATTTCTGCACTTGGAAAGCAGAGGCAGGAGGAGTACTGTGATACAGGGATACATAGTGAGTTTCACAACAGCTGGGGTTACAGAGTGAGACCTTGTCTCAAGAAGAAGGCAGGGTGGGGGGGTGGAGGAGGTAAGGGGGTGGGGTTGGGGTTGGAGAGATGGCTCAGCAGTTAAGAGCACTGACTGTTCTTCCAGAGGACCTGAGTGCAATTCCCAGCACCCACTTTGTGGCTCACAGCCATCCATCACTAAAGTTCCAGGGTCCACCACACTCTTCTTATCTCTGAGGGCAACTGGTTCACACATATACATATGCAGGCAAAACACCCATATACATAAATTTTAATTAATTAATTAATTAATTAAAGTTGAAGCTTACCCATTCTCACACCCCTCCTCCCTCCAGGAGCTTTGTCTTCTGTTGCTTTTGGAGGTGTCTCACCTCTTTGATGCTTTTCATCCAGTTCTGAATATTCTCGAACGATTTCTCATCTGTGATGTCATATACTAGGATAATGCCCTAAGGGATGGCAAAGTTTACCTTGAACCATACTCCCATTCGCTTTCTATTGTCCGCTAAACACAGGCTACCCGGGGCTCACTGCAACACACTCCTTACCCTCCTTCCTTATCCCCTACCCCACGTTCGTGACCCTTTGTAGTCATGTAACTATGACTTTAGCCCATGTCCGGACCCACACCTCATACCATGGCTCCACGGTAATAGGCGGTAGTTATTGTCTTGAATCGTTCTTGGCCAGCTGTGTCCCTGAAGCAAAAGTTTTCATAAAGTGAAATAGAAGCAAGCAGCCTCCAAGGGGGAAAGTCCTTTCCTAGGAACTTAGCTTTTGCAGCACTGAGGGTGGGGGGGCTGAAAGGAAAAGAGTCAGGAAACAGTAAAGGGGAAAGAGACAAGGACACTTGGGCTGCTCTTCAAGGCCGCAGGCCTGGGAAACAGGATGTCTCTTGTTTACTCACAGATACCAAGCGCCGTGCTGAGTATCACTTTTGTGTGTGTGTGTGTCATCCTATCTAGAGTCCACTGTATCGTTGTGAGGCGTTGCGCTGTCCCCATCTTACAAATGAAACAATTGTAGGGAGGCTGGGTATCTAATGAAGGTCAAGCAGAGCCTAAGTATCGTATCAGCATCAGGGTTTAGACCCCATCTGCTGCTGTTTACCTGACATATCACAATGCTTTAGCTAAAGCCTCATAGTGCCTTCAAACCTGCAGAGTCTCCACCTCCTTAGGACAGTCAGGTCACACCCCTGTATGTGACCTCCTGCACTCTCCAAAAATTTCAAGTTATTATTATTTATTATTATTATTATTTGAGAAAGGTCTCTTTACATAGTCCTGACTATTCTGGAACTCACCATGTAGACCAGGCCGACAGACTCCCAGAGATCCACCTGCCTCTGCTTCCCAAGTGCTGGGATAAAGGTTGCTCTCTAAAATTTAGAGAGAGCAATAGACTGGGAGTCAAACTTGTAATTCTGCAACTTGTCTTTGAAGCACTCGGAACCTGTTTCTACATCATAGCCCCCAAAAGACATTTGTTTTCAAGTCCAGAGAATGCTCTGGGTGAGGAGAAGACACAGACAAACTGAAAGTGGCACACAAGGAAGAGAAAGGGAAGGACAGCTGAGTAAGCAAGACAGATACATTAGGAGATGTACTGGGCAGAATAAAAAGGGAAAGAAATAAAGAAGAACAGAAAGACCAGCATGGTGCCTCATGTCTGTACATGCCTGCAATCCCAGGACACAGGAGGCAGGAGCAGCAGGACCAGGCACTAAAGCTCATTCTCAGCTGCATTGTGAGTTCCAGGACACCCTGGCTACATGAGACTTTGTCTCAAAAAAAAAAAAAAAACAAAAAAACAAAAAATAAAACTGGAAAGAGAATATGGGTGGCTGTGGTGGCTCATGCCTTTAAAATCCCAGCACTCAGGAAGCAGAAGCAGGCTGATCTCTGTGAGTTTGAAGCCAGCCTGACCTACAGAGTGAGTTCCAGGACAGGCTCCAAAACTAAAGAATAAGCAGAAGAAAAACTGGAAAGAGAAAAAAGAAGGAGGAAGAATTGGAGGGTGGGGTGGGGGTGCTGGGTAGGTCGGCTCACAGCCTGGACTGGTGAGCTGGGCAGCCTCCTTACCAGACTTGCAGTTTGATCCTCTTGCCCTCTATTTCCACAGTTCGGATCTTGAAATCAATTCCTGGAGTGAAAGGTGTGAAGCCAGGTGGGTATGTGAAAAGCATGGTGGGAGAGAGCAGAGGCCGCGCCAGAAACTTTGCTGGGCAGGCACTTGATGGATGTGTAAACGGGGAGAACTTTTCCAAAGCTTTATTCCTATAGTAAGCACGTTTTCCCTTAGAATGCATGGCGTTTTGGAGAGACGAAACCCACCCATTAGGGGCTTAAAAGCATGCCAGCTGACAATTTTGCTTCCATCTCTATCTCACTTTCCCGGTCTTTTTCCCTCCTTCCCCCAACTCACGCATATATTGATCCTCCAGCAACCCTGCTAGAGCCCTTCAGGGTAAATAGAAACAGGAGAGGCAGCTGATTCATGTCTATGCGGATTAACTAGTGGGCCAGGCTTGTCCTTTCGGACGGGGGCTCCGTAAGATGCCCCTGGGAATCAGTTCGTGGAGAGAAGCGGTTTCTTTCCCCTCCGCCACCAGTCTCAGTCAAGAGGAGATGAAGAAAGAGCAGGGAGGGGAAAGGACACTCTTTACTGGAAGTCTGGGCACATCTCCCAGGCCTCTTGGGGGCCCCAGAGAGAATGTTGAGTCAGGAAGCTTACTCAGAGACCCCAAAGTCCCTTCCCTTCCACCTTCCTCACCCGATACACCCTGCCGCTCTGGCTCGGTGCGGGTGCCGTACGGTGTAAAGGGAGGAGGGTTAGGAAGAAGATCTGGAAGGGGGATGCAGGGGAAGTCTGAAGCCCAGCGGGTCAGAGAGAGGCCAACGGAATTGGGAAGCAGGGGAAGAGAGAAATGGTGAAGAATGAATCTGGAGAGTTTGGGTGGGCGCGGTGAAGAAGGAAGCAGGAGAAATGACAAGTGCCTGTGCGGATTTGGGGACACTAGGGAGCTATACCAAGAAAGGGAGGGAGGGCAGCAACTGGAGTCACCTGGAAGCCTCAGAAAGGTTTGAAGTTTTGAGTGTTATTCAGGGGCACTATGGGGGATGGGTCTGGAACAAGGGGTTGAGAAAATGGAAGTTAGTGTCTTACTCTAAGGGGATTAAAAAGTAGGGTCCCTAGTCATTCAGGAGCCGGTGTACGAGGGTGGGCGGGGGCAGGGGGTGGGTCTGGGGTCTCGGATACAGTCAGTGGGCTCACCGATGGTGGAGATGTAAGTGTTGTTGAAGTTGTCCTCTGCAAAGCGAATAATCAGACAGGTCTTGCCCACCCCCGAGTCCCCGATCAGCAGCAACTTGAAGAGGTGGTCGTAGGCTTTGGCCATGGCGGACACTGGGGGCGCCGGGGGAGGGGTCGGGAAAAGCCAACACTGGTAGGCGGGATCGGAGGGCTGGCTGGCAGAAACCGCCAGAGTCCTAGCCAGGAAGTTTTCCTCCCTCTCCGCCCAGGGCCCCGGGAAAGAAGAGAGGCGGCCCTGCTCGCGGCTCCACCCTCTTCGCCAGTGGAAAGGCCTGTCCAGCTCCTGCGGTCCTGCGGCGGCTCCCCCAGCCTCGGCGGGCCAGTCTGAGTCTTCCCTCTGTCTTTGGCTAGCTGTCTTTCCTCTCTTTAGACCGAAGTGGAAAGAGGAATTTTAAAGAGATTACAGGAGGAGGGAAAGAATTTGTCAATAAGGGTGGAGATGGGGGTTGTGCTGGAAACTGATAAAAAGCTGAGGCTCTATTCAAAGGCTTTTTGAGTTTGCGATAAAGGTCCTAGAACTTTAGTGTCAGCGTTGTGCGTCCTAAGTCTATGTATCCCAATTCTCTTTGAAAAGAAGCGGGTTGGGAGGTTAATATTCTGGGTCCACCTGCCCCCTGGTGGAGCACAGTGAAAAATTGAAATGATAAAAATAAGCCTCATCAACTACACTCAAAACACACACAACCTATTCACATTCTGAAGACTAGCCTGGAATTCAGTAGCACAGCCGGGACTCAGTCTCTCTCAAGTATGAAGACTACAGGTGTGCACTATTATGAGCAATTTTCCATCTTTCTTTTTTTTTTTTTTTTTTTTTTTTTTTTTTTTTTTTTTTGTTGTTGTTGTTGTTGTTTTTCCCGAGACAGGGTTTTTCTGTGTGTAACCCAGGCTGTACTGGTGTACAACTTGCTCTGTAGACCAGTCTGGCCTCGAACTCAACAGTGATCTGCCTGACTGTGCCTCCCCCAGTGCTAGGATTAAAGGTGTGCATCACCCCTACCCGGCCCTTCTTTCTTTCTTTCTTTCTTTCTTTCTTTCTTTCTTTCTTTCTTTCTTTCTTTCTTTTTTAAAGACTTTATTTATTATGTATACAACATTCTGCTTCCATGTATATCAGCACACCAGAAGAGGGTACCAGATCTTATTAAGGATGGTTGTGACCACCATGTGGTTGCTGGGAATTGAACTCAGGACCTCTGGAAGAACAGTCAGTGCTCTTACGGCTGAGCCATCTCTCTGGCCCCCGTAAACAGGTTTTAAAGCTTTATTTACTGTGGTGTCTGTGTGCACAGAGGCCTGCTATGGCGTGCAGTGGAGGTAGAGGACAGCCCTCTCCTTCCACGTCACAGGATGGAGCTCAGATAGCCGGGCTTGCACAGTGAGTGTCTGTGCCCACTGAGCCACCTCAGTACACAACATTACTGGTTTAATTTTGTTTGTTTGGTTTTTCAAGACAGGGTTTCTCTGTATTGCTTTGGAGCCTATCCTGGCACTCGCTCTGTAGCCTGGTCTCGAACTCACAGAGATCCGCCTGCCTCTGCCTCCCGAGTGCTGAGATTATAGGCGTGCGCCACCAACGCCCGGCTCAGTCAGTGCTCTTAACCGCTGAGCCATCTCTCCAGCCCGAGAAATGTTTAACTTCTGAGCCATCTCTCCAGTCCCCCGCCCCATCTTTATTTCTTTATTCACTTTATTTATAGTGTGAGTGTTTAATCCCCGGAAACTTCAGTTACAGCCTGTCAAGTGGGTGCTGCCATACAAGTGCTGGGAATTGAAGCCAGGTTCGCTGCAAGAGCAGCCAGCTCTTAACCACTGAGCCATCTTTTCAGACCCATAAAAACGTGTGTGTGTGGGGGGGGGGGATAACTTTTCTAACAGATGAGTACTGGCTGTGAGAAAGTATTTTTGTTACTTTATTTTTGCCATATTCTGTTTACACTAGTCCTTTCTCAAGCACAATGTATCCGATACCTTTTTCTTCACTGCAACAAAATACTTGACAAAAACAATTTATGAGAGATAGGGCTTGTTCTGGCTCACAAAAGGTGTAGTCAGGCCATCTTGACAGCAGGAGCCTGGGGCATGTGGTCACTTTACATCCAAAATCAGGAAGTAGAGATGAATGTTAGTGCTTAGCTCATTTTCACCTTCTTATTCAAGAGACTGAATGGTGCCACTCAATGTTACACGGGGTTTTCCCACTGTGTAATTCAATTAACCCAATCTAGACTGTCCAGAGATTGGACTCCTAGTGATTCTAGAGCCTGCCAAACTGACAATCCATATTGGCACACACACCTATTTGGTTTATTTTAGTTTTTGTTGTTGTTGTTGTTTTGTTTTGTTTTGTTTTGTTTTTTGGGACAGGGTTTCTCTGTGGCTTTGGAGGCTGTCCTGGAACTAGCTCTTGTAGACCAGGCTGGCCTCAAACTCACAGAGATCCACCTGCCTCTGCCTCCTGAGTGCTGGGATTAAAGGCGTGCGCCACCAACGCCCGGCTATTTTAGTTTTTTTTTAGATTTATTTTTTTGTGTACATTGGTATTTGGCCTGCATGTATGTCTATGTGAGGGTGTCAGATTCCCTGGAACTAGAGTTACAGACAGTTGTGAACTGCCATGTGGGTGCTGAAAATTAAACCTGGGTCTTCTAGAAAACCAGCCAGTGCTCTTTGCTGACTGCTGAATCATCTCTCCAGCCCCCTTTAATTTATTACATTTATATTTGTGTAGGCACACACATGCCACGGTGGAAATGTAGAGGTCAGAGGACATGCTACATGACGTTTCACCAAACTACCCCAGAGCCATTTTACCAGCCCGATTTATTTATTTGGGGCAAGGTCTCTCTCTGTGTTGCCCCAATCAGTCTCAAATTTGTGGGATCATGTGATCATCTGGACTCAGGCTCCTCAGTAACTAGAATGGCAGCCATGTACATGTACTACTAGGCATACTTCAATGCCCCATTCCCACTTATTTTAAAATTATTTATTTTTATTTTGTGTGCACTGGTGTTTTTCCTCAATGCGTGAGTGTAAAATCTTGGAGTCACAGATAGTTGTTAGCTGCCATGTGGGTGCTGAGAATTAAACCAGGGTCCTCTGGAAGAGCCCCCAGAGCTCTCAACTACTGAGCCCCTCCTCTCTCTCTCTCTCTCTCTCTCTCTCTCTCTCTCTCTCTCTCTTTTTGTTATGACACTGGGGATTGGTCAAACCCAGAGCCTTATACATGCTAGGCAAAGCATCTTACTACTGAGCTATATTAAGGGCTTCAATTCCCTACTACTTATTCTCTCACAGTTCATGACATTTCAGGCTGTGGCATAGACCTTGAGTCTCTTCTGGTTTTCCTCACTGACCAATCATGTCCTTTTTATCACTCTAAAGTCCAGGTATAGTGGTGTAGGCTTGCAATCCAGAACACGGAGATAGAAGCAATATGATCACTGAAAGTCTGAGGTTAGCCTACTCTTGGTAGAGTTCCAGGCCAGCCAGGACTACATGAGATCTTAGATGGCTGATCTTGGTTGCCAACTTGATATAACCTGGAATGAGAAAGCCTTAATTGAGGAAGTGCCTCCATCAGATTGGTCTGTGGAAATACATATCTGTGGGAACATTTACTTTTTTCCTTTTTTTTTTTTTTTTTTTTTGGTTTTTCGAGACAGAGTTTCTCTGTGTAGCTTTGGAGCCTATCCTGGCACTTGCTCTGGAGACTAGGCTGGCCTCAAGCTCACAGACATCTGCCTGCCTCTGCCTCCCAAGTGCTGGGATTAAAGCATGTGCCACCACTGCCCGGCAACATTTATTTATCTTTATGTGTGTGGATATTTTGCTCTTGCTTTTGTGTACACCATAGCAAGCCAGGTGCCCTTGGATACCAGAAGGTGGTGTTGGATCTTCTGAAACAAGAGTTACAAACAGCTGTGAGCCTCCATGCTGTTTGCCACCATGTAGACGCTGAGAATCAAACCCCTGGTTCTCTAAAAGAGCAGCCAGTGCTCTCTACCTCAGAGCCATCTCTCTCTAGCCACAGCCATTGGAATTTTCCCTGTTGCTAACTGAGGTCAGAGGACCCAACCCTGTGTGGGAGGAACCATCCCTGGACAGGGTGCTGAATGTAGGCCTGGGAGGAAGGTGGCAGTGGTCTTCCTTGGTTTCTGCTTCAACCTTCTGCCTGTAGTTCCCTGAATAATGGACTACAACCTGTAAGCCAAATAAATCCATTCTCTCACCAAGTTGCTTTTGGCCAGAATGTTATCATAGCAACAGAAAGCAAACTAGCACAGTGAGGATGGGGTGGAGAGTGTAGTTGTACATACCTTGAAACCCAGTGTATAAACTGACAATATGACCGATCCATGCTATAGTTAAAGGGAAGGTGTTGTTTGTTTATTTGAGACAGGGTTTCTCTGTGCAGTCCTGGCTGTTCTGGAATTCACTCTGTAGACCAGGCTGCCTTTGAACTCACAGAGATCCACCTGTCTCTGCCTCTTAAGTGCCCTGCTAAGGGGAAAGTTTTTATTGTGAGAGAGATAACAGCCAGGGGTATCTGGAAGAGTCAGAGCAAAGAAAGATGTAGACTGACCATGGCCAGGGCTATCTTCGAGAAAGGGGAGAATAGCAGGAGATAGAGAATAGAGGAAAACATACTAAGAGAATCAGGAGTGGAGCATAAGGAGAACATGACAATAGCCAGGTTAGAAGAAGGATGAGTAAGAGGGAGGGAAGCCCATGAGCTGGAGATTTTAGGGTAGAGGACGAGGTAAGGATAGGATGCTAGCATGGACTCTGAAATGTGTAACAGTACTTGTGACACTGAAGAAGCCTGGAGACCAGCATGAGCTGATAAACCCATAAGGCACAACTGGTAGCCTTAAGTCCCTTCTGCCACAGGTAAGGGAAATGACTCCTTTTGGTAGATGGGAACCAGTTTCACAAGTTCAAGAGGAATGCAGGCTTTTGTCTAACCACCAGAAATCCTTCTGTAGTCCAGGTTGAGCTCATTTCTGGATTATTTGGTCTGTCTTTTGGTGCTTGGGGAATTAGAGTTTCTTTTGGACCTGACACCCAGTACTTCAGAGGCAAGAGGCAGAAGGATCTCTGTAGGTTCAAGGCCAGCCTGGCCTACATAACAAGTTCCAGGCCAACTAGGTCTACATAGTGAGAGCCTATCTCAAATAAGTAAATAAGAATAAATAATGGCAGGCAGATATCCATGAGTTCAAGGCCAGCCTGGTCTACAGACTGAGTGCCAGGATAGGCTCTAAAGCTACACAGAGAAACCCTGTCTTGAAAAAACAAAACAAAACAAACAAAAAAGAATAAATAATGGCAGGCAGATATCCATGAGGTCAAGGGCAGCCCGGTCTACAGACTGAGTGCCCGGATAGGCTCTAAAGCTACACAGAGAAACCCTGTCTTGAAAAAACAAAACAAAACAAACAAAAAAGAATAAATAATGGCACTGGACCTGAAAACATTCAGTCATAGATGAAGGCCAGGTAAACCTAGACAGGAGGGCCAGTCCCTTGGTAGATACTGGCAGTTGATGACTATTAGAGAGAGAAAATGTCATTGTCTTTAGTGGTATAGCCACTGAGAGTTACCAGACCTAATGGACAATCATGCCCCTGGTGGCAGCCCTGGTTAAACTCTCATCACAAAACAAAAAACAGCCAGGGGTCGGGGGTGGGGGTGCATGTCTGTAATCCCAGCACTGGGGAGGCAGAGGCAGGCAGATCTCTGGTAAATTCAAGGCCAGCCTGGTCTACAGAAGGAGTTCCAGGACAGGCACTAAAGCTTCGCAGAGAAACTGTCTGGAAAAAACAAACCAAATCCAAAAAGACAAAGACATGACAATAGAAAGGGAACTGAGGGGGTAAAAGTCATCCTTGCTGAAGCTTTGAGAGCTAAGCAGAGGATGTGATGAGATGATGTTGTAGTGAAATATACCAGCTAAAGTACCAGAGAAGTGAGCAAAGAGAATACATCGCTTGGAATTAAAAACACAGATACAAGAAAAAATTTATAATGAGGAGAAAAAAAGAATCCATGAATTTTTGTTTTGTTTTGTTTTGTTTTCTGTTTTTTGTTTTTCAAGACAGAGTTTCTCTGTGGCTTTGGAGGCTGTACTGGAGCAAGCTCTTGTGAACCAGGCTGCTCTCAAACTCAGAGATCCACCTGCTTCTGCCTCCCGAGTGCTGGGATTAAAGGCGTGCACCACCAACACCTGGCTGTACTCTTCTTTTTGAACTTAATTTTATTCATCATTTATTTATTTATTAAAGATTTCAAATTTATGTATATAGTGTTTTGTTTGTACACCAAAAGAGGACACCAGATCTCATTATAGATGGTTGTGAGCTACCATGTGGTTTTGGGGAATTGAACTCACGACGTATGGAAGAGCAGCCAGTGCTCTTAACCTCTGAGCCATGTCTCCAGCCCCATTATTTATTTATTTATTTATTTATTTATTTATTTATTTTTGTTCAATACTGGGACTCTATCCCTTGGCCTCACACATTAGGGAAGACTTCTACCAGCTAAGCTGCACTCTTGACCTCTGAAGAGATCTACTCTTTGCAGCACTGTTACTCAGAGGATGAGAAGGAAAGATGAAGACCAAAGCATCCTCCCCCACGAATGAGCAAAGGTTTAGAATGTCTCCTTGTTGGGACTGGAGAGATGGCTCCTGCAGAGGACCTGAGTTCAGTTCCCAGCACCAATGCTGGGAATTTACAACCAGCTATAACTCAGCTCCAGGGAAATCAGATGCTCCTGGCCTCTTCCAACATCCACACAAATGTGTCCCACATGGACACATATACATAATTTTTTAAGAAGTAACAAAAATAAGAATCTTTACAATGTCTACTTGCTGTAATGGAGGAACAAAGATGACCAAATGGCTTTGTTAATTCTGATGGAAAAGGATGAAATGAGGTGCCTGAATTCCCATTAGGAGTTTGCTGACAAAGGTTCAACAACCAGTTCTCCAAAGGAAAGCCCTAATTGTAGTTCTTGTTAACTTTGGTGACATGCAGTCTCATCATGACTGATACTAAAGTAGTATTGCTGAACATGACTTTGGCAAAAATCTAGTCTTGGAAATCAGTGAGAACCAGTTTTAGCATATTATTCCCAGGACAGAGTAATTTGGGAGGGAATGACACTTAGGCTGAAATCTGAAAGACAACATGCAAATATCTAGTAGAGAAGAGTTCTTGGATGAGGGAAAATATTGTGAATGAAAACCAGAAGACCCAGGACTGGGGTTCTCAACCTGTGGGTCACAACCCCATTAGGGGTGGAATGACCCATTCACAGGGGTTGCCTGAGACCATTGGAAAACACAGATATTTACATTACAATTCATAACAGTAGCAAAATGACAGCTATGAAGTAGCAATGGAATAACTTTATGGTTGGAGGTCATGAGGAATTGCACTAAAGGGTTGAAGCATTAGAAGGTTGAGAACCAATGGCTTAGATTGTTTTCTACAAATGATAAAAGGCCCTGGATTAGATTACTAACACTACACCCTCCCCACAGCACACACACTAGATATCACAACATGCCTGCAACCCGAGCACTTTCTTGGTGGAGGTCAGCCTGGGACTAAAGACACTGTCTTTTTTCCTTTTTGTTTTTCTTATTTATTTATTTATTTATTTATTTGTTTATTTTTGAGACAGGGTTTCTCTGTGTAGCTTTCGAGGCTGTCCTGGAACTTGCTCTTGTAGACCAGGCTGGTCTTGAACTCACAGAGATCTGCCTGCCTCTGTCTCCTGAGTGCTGGGATTAAAGGCTTTCGCCACCAATGTCCGGCTTAATTTGTTTTCTTAGCACAGGTTTCTCTGTGTAGCTATGGCTGTCCTGTAACTCTCTCTGTAGACCAGGCTGGCTTCAAACTCAAGAGACTGCTTGCCTTTGTCTCCCAAGTATTGGGATTAAATGTGTGAGTCATCACCACCTGGCTGAAACACTGGAATTCACAATCCACCTGCCTCTGCCTCCCCAGTGCTGGATTAAAGGTGCCAACATATCTGGACTGGACAATTTAACTTCTCTGAGCAGCAACACAGGGATCTGTACAAATGTGATAATAGCAACAGTAGCTTCATAGTTAATTAGCATACTTGTAAAACAAAGCAAAGCAAAACAAAAAAACAAAAAATTTTAGCATACTTGTTTTATTTTTATTTGGTTTTTAGAGACAAAGTCTAGTTCTGGCTGTGCTGGAATGCAGCGATAAAAGGTGTGACCTCATGTGGTCTTTAATTAGCATGTTAAAAACAATGCATCAGTCAAGACTTACATAGATATTTGATTTTATTCTTCAAAGGTTAGGGATTGGAAGAATACAAAATCAGTTTGTATCCTTAGCACTGGAAAACAGCAACAACAACAAAACAATGGTAAACAATAGGGTTAGTTGCAGTGGGGCAAATATGAACAGGGCTTTTTTTTCCCAGACAGGTCTCCTGTAGTCCACATTTGACCTCAGATTTGCTATGGAGCCCAGGATGATTCTGATTTATCCTCGGGGTCTTGGAAGTGCTGGGATTACAGCCTTGAGCCACAGACACCATCACTACGCCCTGCCCTGCCCTACACGGTTTACAAAATGCTGGGGATTAAATTCAGGGCTTTGTGCACGCTAAGAAGGAAGTTTATTAATGCAATACACCCCCAACTCCAAGCGAATATTTTATTTAAAATGTATTACATATAGAATTGTTTGTTAATCAGGGTAAATTAAGCCAATTGCAAAATGTAAAAGAACATCAGTAAATCGCTGGTGTTCACCTCTGCTGTTCACATTACACTCCAGCTGTCAAAGCGTAGTAGGGAAATTTTAAACTATCCTTTTTTTTTTTTTTTTTGACACCTGCAAAACCCTGAACTCAAAATAGAAGCTAATTCTCTCACCATGGTTATGCACCGGCGACACGAGGAGCCTTTACAGACCTTCTGAAAATGGCAGCCCACGGCGCAACCCTTGCATTCGAACGGCAAACCCGACCTTCCCAAGATGGCAGAACAACAAGGGCTCGTCACTTCCTGTGCCCTACCGGATATAAGGAACAGGATTTCCGCTTTCGCTCCTTTCCGGCGGTGACGACCTCCCTACGAGAACATGCCTGTGAGTTCCTTGGTCCTGGTTTCGGCAGGGAGCACGCTCTTGTGTCTACATTCTCCTCTCGCGCTGATTGCAGATCGTAGAGGGGCCACACTTACGCTCCGCGTACCTTAGGGCAGTAATTCCAGAGCCGCGGCGGCCCACGGGCCACCCGCGTAGATGGGAGCGGAGAGGAGATAAGATGGCGGCCCAGCTACGCAGACACCAGGGGCGGCAAGGGGCGAGTGCTCCCCGGTGTGTGACAGCGGGCACCGTTTGCCGTCGCCTCTTTTTATCCCTGCCTTCTAAATCTCTGCCTTTCTGCCCCTCGTAGCTCGCAAAGGATCTCCTTCATCCCTCTCCAGAAGAGGAAAAGAGGAAACACAAGAAAAAGCGCCTGGTGCAGAGCCCCAATTCCTACTTTATGGATGTGAAGTGCCCAGGTGAGGAGGTGGTTTGCTGGAGCGGGGAAAGCACTGATCATCAGCAGTCGAGGACTTTCTGAGAATTCAAAAAGACGGACTTGGATCTACATCTTAGAAGGAGTGCTTGGATTAGTGACAGCGACCGCACTGTTTTAGGAAGCTGTAAAGGGATGGTAACTTGAAGAAAAACTGAAAGCAGCTAACATTTTTTGTTGTTGATTTCTCTCTCTTTCAGGATGCTATAAAATCACCACGGTCTTTAGCCATGCACAAACGGTAGTCTTGTGTGTTGGCTGCTCCACTGTCCTCTGTCAGCCCACAGGCGGAAAAGCAAGGCTGACAGAAGGTAAGTGGTCTTCATGTTGGGTACTGACAGATCATGTAGCATGCAAACCTCCAGACTAGTAAAGTAAGCTGCATTCTTGTTAAAGTAGGCATTATTAATAGTTGTATTGATCTCAAAGCAGTATTGCTTAAAGCTGGGGTGGCCTGGTTTTGTTAAAAGGGTTTCATTTGTTTCCAGATGATAGGAACTGGAGAAAGAGATGTGTATAAATGGGAAGTAGACAGTGGGATTGAGAACAGATGTTCTTCAATCAGCATTCTGCAGATGAAGCAGGGGCTTCATGATGTAACACCTTTTTCTTTTCCTTCCAGGATGCTCCTTCAGGAGGAAGCAGCACTGAAAAGCACCTGATTCAAGATGAGTGGGAACCATCCCAATAAACACATTTTGGATATATATAGTGTCTGTCTTGTTTAACTGGTAGGAAGTTATGCCTCAAGTATTCCAGGGCAACCAGAAGAGTGGTCCTTTTGGGTCAAGTAAGTGGCCAAGAGTTCATTTCAGGCATTTGCATCTGGGTTCATAAACTGGTGGAACTGTATAGTTAATTGGGCTTTGTGTTCTCCTAATGTCTTTTTACTATTTATTCACTGTCTAGGGAAGCGCTGTCATACAAAGGTGTGTGACAGTTGTCATTCAGGGGTTGGTGCTACACACTACTAGAAGCAGAAGCAGTCAAGTTCAGAGCAGCCAGGATTACTGTACTTGTGTTCTTTAGTTTAGACGGGGTCTTATCATAGCTTCAAGTCACTACAGCAAGGGATACCTCCCAAGTGATGATGGCATTGTAGGTGTGCACCACCATATTAATTTATGTGGTGCTAGGAACAGAAACCCAGGGCTTGGTGGGGCCCCAGAAACTTAATCTGTTCAACACAGGAATTGGAATCAAACCGCTTAAGTTCCTTTATTTATGGTTAATAGAAAACTTGTTTTGGAGGTTAGTATAGAGTTTGCTACTCTATACTAATCCTTCTGCAGGATTAGGTGTCTCCTCCATTCTTTGACATGTGCTCATATTTAGGTTAGTGCTTTATACTCCATAACCAGTGTTGCAGCCGACTCTGTACTAGAGGTGGCTGTGGGTTCAGGAAGTGAGGGGGGGAACATGTTGTATAAGAACCTGGAAGAAAAGGGTGATAGTGAAGGCAAGTAAGCAAATATATAAGTTCACATACATCTGAACTTATGAAAGACAAGGGCAGTGGTTGTTTACCTGGCTGAGTTGTTCCTATAGTTGGTACATAAACAACAGGAACAGTCTGTATTTTGTTGAGGAAGGCATTGTATGCTGGATAAAGGAAACACCACAGAAAGATTTATGCGATTTTGATTGAAGGAAGGAAGATTTAAAGGCCAGCAAGATGATTCCAGCCAGCAGAGATACTAGACAAGCTTGTCTTAAGTCCCCAGAACTTCCACGGTGGGAAAAGAGAGCAGACCCCTCAAGTTGTCTCTGACTTCCATACTTGAGTCAGGGCATATTTGTGCTCTTCCTAACTCAAGCAGATAATTGTAAGAAATAAAATGATATCTAAGTATTAGTATTAAAGCCATTTTCTAGTTAGTCTGCCTTCACAAAGCACTGCCCTGTGTACTAATACTTGTAATTTCCTAGCCAGTACAGTACAGTATAGCATATTTGTGGCATATGCTGTAGACATTATAAGTAACCTAGAGATGATTGAAGCTATATGAGCAGATGGATAGATTAAGTGGAAATGCTTGAATGCTTGAAGTTTTGATAATTGTGGGTCCTGGCCCCAGCCTGCCTCCAGTTACTGAAGGAGGAGACTAATGGAGAGATACAAAGATACATCTTAGAGGTATTTTTCCACTTTTGGCTAAAAGTGTTTGTGTAGGCAATAGTGATCTCTTTTTTGAGATAGGGTTTCTCTGTAACTGCCCTGCCTGAACTGGAACTTGCTGTATAGACCAGGCTTCCTGCCTTTGCCTTCCAGATGCTACGATTAAAGGTGTGGGCCACCATCCCCAGCAGGTTGACCTTTAATCTATTAGGCTCACTCATTGACAACTATGTGTCATGAATTAGTTGTGATAAACAGCTAATTTCCATTTAGTTTGTGAGAGTCAAAAGTTACCATACAAACTCCTTACCTAGGAAGATGAAAGCAGTTGATGCCAGCACAGCAAAGAGGGTGAACAGGAGGATCTGATAAGAACCAACAAGATTCTTCAGGACACCTGATTCTTCACAGTGATCTGCATTGCCATAGTGGGATGAGATAGTTTTATTAATAACCTCCAGAGCAGATGGTGGCTTTAATTCTGTCGCAGAGGCAGCTGGGTCTCTTGACTACATACCCTGTCTCAAAAAACCAAGAGTGGCAGTAGTACTGCTATTCCCCACCTGGGAAGATCAAGTTAGAAGATAGTCTATGTTTACAGTGACACACTCAAATTCCCCCATGCCTTGTAAACTCAGTTTGTACTGGTTTGTATACTGCATGTATACCTGAGGACTTTGTACCATCTTGCCAACCTGCTGAGTCCCCCCCCCCCCCAGGGTTTCTCTGGCTTTGGAGGCTGTACTGGAACTCACTCTAGGCTGGCCTGCCTCTGCCTCCTGAGTGTTGGTATTAAAGGTGTGTGCCACCAACGCCCAGTCTGCTGATGAGATTTTGATCCTTATCTCTTACCTGTGCTCAGCATGCCATCTCTAGAGAACATTCTGGTTTGTGTCTACTATTCATAATAAAACTTGTTTGAGTTTCCCCTGACACACTTATATGTCCTAGATTGCCATGATATGAAGAACAACCTTGTCTAGACCTTTTGCCTCTACCTCCAGTGCTGGGATTATAGGCATAGACTGTTATGTTCATCTCTTTAGGGTGCTAGGCATTGAACCAGGACTACACACATGCTATGCATGAACGTCACACTTAGGGAAAATTTTTCTTTTTAAATTTTATTTATTATGTATACAACATTCTGCTTCCATGTATATCAGCACACCAGAAGAGGGCACCAGATCTCATAACAGATGGTTGTGAGCCACCATGTGGTTGCTGGGAATTGAACTCAGGACCGCCGGAAGAGCAGCCACTGCTCTTAATCTCTGAACCATCTCTCCAGCCCTTTCTTTGGTTTTTGAAACCAGGGTTTCTCTGTAACAGCCCTAGCTATCCTGGCCTTGAACTCAGAGCTGCTTGCCTCTTCCTCCTGAATACTGGGATTAAAAGAATGTGCCAGCATGCTTACCCACCCCCCATTTTTGAATACATTTGGTCCCTACATTTGACTATTTCAGAGGCCCACAGCACCCTCTTATAGTCTTACTTGTGCCGGGCGTTGGTGGCGCAACACTCAGGAGGCAGAGGCAGAGGATCTCAAGTTCGAGACCAGCCTGGTCTACAAGAGCTAGTTCCAGGACAACAGCCTCCAAAGCCACAGAGAAACCCTGTCTTGAAAAACCTAAATAAATAAATAATAACCTTACTCGTGCATGGTATTTCTCCTAATTTGTGGAAGATACTGTCAAGTGGGGATTTAGCTGAGGTGTGAAGTATTTGGTCAAGCATGGCAAACAGGGTTTCTCCACCTGCCTCTGCTTCAAGGGGTGTGCTACCACCACCCAGCTAAGACCTGAGTTTTGTATACACATGTGTTGCATATCTGCTTGCAATGCTCCAGCCATCCTACCCTACTCATCTCCATGCCAGTGAGAACAGGTTCCTGTGGAATGGCCTTGAGTGAATGCTTCAGTTTGTACTCTTATACCCACTTAGTGTATATACCCTCACAGGACAATAAAAAGCACTACAGTTATCTCTGACCATACACTGCTGTTTTTGTAAATATTTTTCAGAACAGGGTCTAAGTAAAATTTGGCTGGATATTACTTGTAGCATTTTCCTATGTCCATGTGACCTAACACTGATTTCTGTAGGGTTTTTCCCCCCTCTGAGACATGGTTTCTTTATTCCCTAGGTGTCCCTGTACTATATAAAACAGGCTGGCCTTAAACTCAAGTTACACCTTCCTCTCCTTCCCAAGTGCTGGGAAAGTATGGTGTTGTATCAGGTGGGGAGATCAGAAGTTTAAGGTCATCCTGCCTTCCTACATAGGGAGTTCAAGGCCGGCCTGGTATACCTGCCTGAAC